ACACTCACACACACACACACACACACACACACCAACACTGAACAGAGGTTAGAGGTGAACTTTAAAAATGGTTCATTTTTAAAGGCTTTCTCTTATTCTCATTAAGGCTGTATTTATTTAATAAAAAACACAGTAAAATCAGTAATATTGTGAAGTATTACCACAATTTCAAGAACTGTTACATTTTAAAATGTAATTTATTCATGAGATCAGAAGCTGAATTTTCAGCATCATTACTCCAGTCTTCAGTATCACATGATCTTTCAGAAATCATTCTAATGTTGAAAAATGTCATTTTTTGGTGAACTATCCCTTTACAGATGACATTACAACAACATTTGCACCTTTAACTTCCTCTATATATTTCAGAGTGAAATAGGAAAACCTCATTAGTAGATGATATTATTGGCTAATATTATTTATGATCTTGGATGCATCAGGACAAAAGTCCTTTCATTGGTGGTTCATTACATTTTAATGAAAACAAACCTCTTCTTTAGCATGCACTAATGTACGTAACTTGCGTTACTTGTAATATATTACCCCCAACACTGATGAATTGTATAGAGTAAGACATTAATAAAGCATGTTGTGTTGTCTTCAAATACACGTGTGTGTGTGTCTCTCATCACATACCTGTGTATGCCATATTCTTGGGGTTTCCGTATGGGGTTCCCGGCTGCACTGGACTGTACACCGGGTTCATGGTGGAAGACAGCCTGTTCTTACTGAGAGAGAGAGAGAGAGAGAGAGAGAGAGAGAGAGACAAAAAGAGAGATACTGTGTATCAGCTTGTGAATCGAGACAGCGTGGAGAGACAGAGAGAGAGAGAGAGAGAGAGAGAGAGAGAGAGAGAGCAAATTAATAAGACTGATGTTGATTTAAAAGGCATGAACTGCTGCAACAATCAGCACGCACGACTCAAAATTTGTAGGCCCTACATATTCACACAAGTTGCATCATATTTCCTGTATACCACAAAAACACCTCTCAATGGCCATTTTTACCTGGTTTTGAAAAATGATGTAAATCCCAGTTTAACCTCAGATCACATTTTAGATGGTTCTGTAAAGCCTCAGTTGAGACAGTCTTCACATGTTTGACTGCAGCTTTTCACATGATTTTGTTGTATTTGCATGATAAAACCTTGCGTCTGAATGTAAGTATTAGATTACCATTAATGTCAATTTACCTGTCTGTTGTAGTTTACACTAACAATATTTGGGGTCAGTAAGGTTTTTTTTATTTTTTTGAAAGAAGCCTCTTCTGCTCACCAAGGCTGCATTTATTTGATCAAAAATTCAAGAAAATCAGTAATATTGTGAAATATTATTACAATTTAAGACAACCGATTTCTATTTGAATATATTTTAAAATAAAATGTATTTCTGTGATGCAAAGCTGAATATTCTGTATCATTACTCCAGTTTTCAGTGTCACATGATCCTTCAGAAATAATTCTAACATGCTGATTTGCTGCTTAAGAAACATTTCGTATTGTTATCAATGTTGAATTTCTTCAGGATTCTTTGATAAATAAAAAGTTCAAAGGAACTGCATTTATTTGAAGTGAAAATCTTTTGCAATATTATAAATGTCTTTGTAATTTAAAAAAAAAATCAATTTAAAACATCCTTGCTAAAAATAGTATTAATTTCTAAAAAAAGCGCTGACTACAAACATTTGAACAGTAATGTGATAAATACTGTTTAATCAGTAATTATATCTTAACAATATTCTTGTTCTACTTCCATACTCTACATCCTTTAAAACATCTGATAACGTTCAAATATAAAGTGGTGATCACTCTACACTTTGACTTTAACTTCTACTCATACGCATACAAATACAGGAGACGGAGTACAACACTGTGTCTTCTAACAATGTTAAAAACGAGAAAACATGTGCTGAGCATGAAAACAGCAGCAGAGTGGCTCCTTACGGAAAACAGTGTGTGTGTGTGTGTGTTATCCTCTCTCCTTGTGCATGTGTGTGAGTCTGATCTCCCCTGAACACTGGCATTATCAGTCAGTCAGTCAGTCGTGGGGAAAGACAGAAATAGAGGAAGAAAAGCTCACGAATAGGGGAGGATCATGCGTCAGAACCTTCCCCTCGCACCTCGGCCACACAGGCTGTGAGCACGGAGCTGTTAGCATGTGTTCAGATGTGCCGTGAGTGTGTCACGAGTGCGTGTGGGAGAGGTGAAATGTCAGAGCGAGCGTATTTATGATCTATGATCACACACTCACAAACACAAGTATGGAAGATCAAGGTCACGACATCTTACGAGTCAAAGCGGCTTGATGCTGCATGAAACACATAAACCGCAGCTTTCTATTCCCCTAAACATTTGAGCAGCATGTAAAATGCACAGAAAAATCATTTGGAAAGTTGCAGTCTTATAGTCTTTTATAAAAGCATGAGAGGTCATGTGTTGCAGTGATTTTACTATGTTTAAAGGGGTCATATGATGCGATTTCAATTTTTCCTTTCTCTTTGGAGTGTTACAAGCTCTTGGTGCATAAAGAAGATCTGTAAAGTTGCAAAGACTAAAGTCTCAAATCCAAAG